CCCAGTATCAAAACCTGGCTTGGGTCGATCGCACGGGCCACATGACCGACGAGCAATGGTCTAGGACCCTGCAATTCAGCCCCGAGTCCTATCGCAGACAGAATCTCGTGGCTCCAGGACGACTCATTTTCGAGGCATTTGAGCAACTCTCCTACATCAAGCAACATGATTTCACATCCATATGGAACGATTCGTCGAGGAATGATTCCACCGACTATGAACATTCCCGAAGAAGTGCATGTGACTGTGGCTCCAAATCGGTGGATGTACTGACTCAGAGGAGAGGTTTGTTGCAGGTGCTCAGTATGTTCGGTCAACTCCAGAAATACAGAACCGTCACTGCGTGGGTGCATCTTCCATATCCAAAAGTCTTCAATGATGGCTCCGTCCGGGCCGATGCCTCCAAACAGGACGCCTGTGGTCTGGTCGATGCTCTCTAGACAGGCCCCGAATCGAGCAGTGGGTCTTGAGCCTTGTATCTCAACTTCCTGCCATCTGTGACTGTTTGTCTGCCATAACAACCAAGTGTCAAAGATAAATCCATCGCTGGATTTCCCGCCGTAAACAAGAACCGAGTCCGAACCTGTCTCAAGGGTAATCTTGACCGCGCTGTGTCTGAAGCGAGGAGCTGGGAGACTCCGAGTGGACTGCCACTGCTTTCCCTGTCGCAACCAGCAATCTTGAAATCCACTAGCTGGTGACGCTCTCCCACCGACGAGCAAGCAGTCACTACCGCTCAGACTAGTCACCGTGTGACACATCCGTGCAGGGACATCTCGTGGAGGGAATGGAAGTTGAGGGGTAGTCATACCCTTGCACTTGCTGTAGAGATCTGTCGATGCATCGCGAGTCTGGCGACCTAAACCTGAATGGTGACCCATAGAATTTTCACTATCCGGGATGACGGCCCCGAACCTCCTCTGGCCGCCTTTCGGGTCGTTGCCCGGAAGCAGCACATATTGTGAGGATACGTCGGGCTCCTTGGTGAAGGCCGGCGTCTTTTGCGACTCCTGATCCAAGGTATGTGGTTTTGTAGAAGCGATGAGCAAGAAGTAATGGGAAGCAAAGAGTGCAAACTCTTCCCACTCATCGAACGGTTCGACTGTATCCAGCCATGCTCGTAGAGAACTTCCGACAAAGCCATTATCTGACCAGAGATCCCAGAGACTTCTAGCCTGCGCATGTATCCAGCCGGCACTTCTAAATCGCTGTTCTTGCGCACTCAATGAAGGATATTCGTGGATTGAGTACAGGGGCGCTCCGAGTTTGTTGAAGTGCTTCATCATAGTTGAGGCAAAAGGATGATTGGGTCCGTCAGGGAAGAACTGTTCCAATATACAGAACTGAGAATCTGAATATCCTGTTAGCTTGACGGCCATGATATGGAAGATCAGCGGCATTAACCATTGTTGAGCTTTGAGGCCCAGTCCAACACGGCATTGGCAGACTTGACATCCATATACGTCAGAGAGACCTCTGCCAGGAAGAGAATGGAGCATTCAGACGGAAGGACCTCTGTCTTCAGCACATCATCTAGCTTCTTGAGGTTTTTCAGATCACAACCAATGGCTAAGTATTGCTTGCTGCGGATCTGGATTGGACTTTCATCCGAGAGAAATTCTACATTCTCAAGAAGCTGGGTAATCTCATCTGTCCTGCGAATGGCCGTCTTCTTATTGACCATCAGCTTCTCATAGTCGACATCCACGAACCTCGTGGCACTACACAAGGCTTTATCGGCGCTCAGAAGTATGAACGGTAATGGATCACTACGACAGCCCAACTTAGCATACGACTCACGCGGACCCTTCCCCTTAGTCCTATAGGCACAGCGGTAGTTCTCTACGACTCACAATCCACATCCAAGATTCAATACGAATTTGGGTTTATCTGACGGCTGCCTCATGAACCGCCGAACCGTCTCCGCCATAGCATGCATGCGAAGCCAGTATCCACGATTGATCAGGGGCGACCGTCTCTGGGGTTTCTTCACGAAATATCTGAAGAAATGGGGCTTGGGGTAGTATAGTAATTCGACGCTCCGCTTGGACACAATACTGCTATTATTAGTCTAGGCAGAAGGAGTCAGTGGTATGTGCGCGGAGTCGGCTTTAAGAACGACTTACTCCCATCACCAAATCAGCCTCTCGTTCGGCCTTGGTGCTGACTCCAGCCGTAGCTGGTTTCTTTGCAGCTCTCATGGTGGATTCAGCGACTGACAAAGGACAAAAAGAAAACAGAAAGTCACAATCAGTAAATTGAGGAATCACTGAGACATGGAGGGGGCCTTAACCACCAAAAAATTTACCCTTATGGCGGATCAAGATGTGGCCCAAGCGCCCGATACTCGCTTAGCGCGTTTCGCCCAATCGTACAGCGAGCCGCGGCAATGAAAGCAGTTCAGGCGATCCCCCGCGATCCTCCGCGAATGAGAGCTAATCTCCTTCCAAGTTCCAACATTCAAAGACACCGCTCTTGATGGGAATGACGACAGTGTCCACAAATTTTGAAAGGAAGGGTGCTTTTACGTCTATTTATGAGATTCACTGGACGAGTATCTTCTGAAAGACCCGAAATGCAACCCGGAAGCTGTCTGTGACGAACCCGATCTGCTATGAGACCCCGTTGATCTGCTGTTCTCTTTAGCCCCTCCATCCTCATACAAGCGTCAATACGATTTCGGAGCGTGATTCGGCGGGGTAGCCTGTCTGTTTCGGTGTCGCCGGTAACTATCGCAGTATACAAGAACGATATTGGATCGATCAAAAGACATATCAGGCGGGTTGGTAGCCTATCGGGGTCAAGATGGCAATGAACTTCGTGACTTTCAACCAAGACTACAGCTATCTGGCTGTTGGTAAGCGCCCCTTGGAATTCTTCAAGCGCATGCGCACGCTCTAAGACTCTGTATTACCTCCATCAGCGACCTCGAAGGGTTTTCGCATATTCACCACGGACCCTTTTGCGAAGAGTTATGAGACGAAAGAAGGAAATATTGCCATCATTGAGATGTTGTTCTCAACATCTCTCGTTGCGCTCATCCTCTCACCACGTCGCCTTCAAATCACTAATACTAAGGTTCGTAGTTCCTCACTGGACAACTGTACATTCTTGAACTCTTTGTTACCCGATAGAAATAAGGGACAGTGTCATGCTGTTGAGTGCGCTTCTACTTTTCGGCATATGTTGACGCTTTCTGCTTGGCTATTTGCCTCATATAGCGCCAATCTACGATATGCGAGTTAACCTTTCCCACCACCGTCCTGGCGGTCAAATTGAATCGGAAACGACTCGTGATTGTTCTTGAAGATCAGATCTATCTTTACGACATTCAGACGATGAAACTGCTCTACACCATCCAGACGTCGCCCAACCCCAACGGTAAGCGATATAATCCGCTCTTGCCATTACTCGAGCGTTTTTCTAATGCCGGATAGCGATCTGCGCGCTATCACCGTCCTCTGATAATTGTTATCTCGCATACCCTCTTCCACAAAAGGCGCCGCCCTCTTCATTCAATCCGCCGTCTCATGCTCCTCCGGGAAATACTCATGTATCGCCGACAAGCGGAGAGGTTCTGATATTCGATACGTTAAAACTGGAGGCCATCAACGTCATTGAAGCGCACCGATCTCCGTTGGCTTGCATTACGCTCAACAGTGATGGCACTCTGCTGGCCACCGCTTCTGATAAGGGAACCATCATCCGCGTCTTTTCCGTTCCTGACGGTCACAAGCTATACCAGTTCCGACGCGGTTCGATGCCATCGAGGATTTTCAGTATGTCGTTCAATACCACGTCGACCCTGCTTTGCGTCTCCTCATCTACAGAGACAATACACCTTTTCAAGTTGAGCCATCCAACATCATCTCCAGACGCCTCCCCTTCATCTTCCTCGCCTGTGGGCCGTGACAGGTCTCTAAGTCAAAGCTCCTCCGGTTATTCTCCCGACCGCGGCGACCTGACTGGGGACTTGGGCTCGTCAGATTTCCCCTCCCGGAAACATAATGGAACTCTGATGGGTATGATCAGACGGACCTCCCAGAATGTTGGCAGTACTGTCGCTGCCAAGGTGGGGGGTTACCTCCCCAAAGGAGTCAGCGAAATGTGGGAGCCCACCCGTGATTTTGCTTGGTTCAAATTACCAAAGGCAAACCAAAGTTCTGGTGGCAGCGGGAACAATGGCCCTCTCCGCAGCGTGGTTGCCATGAGTAGCAACACACCGCAGGTCATGGTGGTTACCAGCGATGGCAACTTTTATGTCTTCAGCATCGATCTTTCGAAAGGCGGCGAAGGTACGCTGACAAAACAGTACTCGTGAGTTTACCAGTCCACCATTTTAGACCTCAAACGGGATATTGACCCGTGCTTCAGGGTGCTTGAATCGAATGATCGGCTGGGATACTCTGTAACGGATTACTAAATCTCCTCTATATGATACCACTCTTTTAGCGGCACTCCATCTCCATTTCTCTATACGTTGATTTCCAAGCGGTGGTTGTTACTCTGTGCTCTCCTTTCTCTTTTTTCTTTTTGGCGTTAGATACACCCAAGGCCTTTCGCCAATGAAGGAACATCATCCTGATTTATGAAACACTTTTTAGCCCTCAGATATCTGCGATGATTAAGGATGCACATCCCTACATGATATAGTCCAATTCAACCCAAGTCGGGCACTCCACCTGCAGCAATCGATGTGACTACCTTAGGTGACTCATACAATCGCAAAGCAATCCTTGCGTAACTTTTTAAATGTAGTTCAGTGTTATACACCTAACGATAACGGTCGACCATTTGAGGACCTTGTATAGAAGTCACATGACATAGGGCGGTGCTGAGAATGAAAATTATCTCCCGAAAGATTACTCGAGCAATTTTTCCAATAATACAAATTCATACGCAGGAATTCAAAAATTGAGTTCCTGATCACTAGGTCAACATCATCGCGAGTGCTCTCATATTGTTGAGGCAATCAGTATCTGCCCAAGTGGCAGCACACAATGCATTCCGACGATCCAACAGGAGATCGGACTACAAATGAACATGTCAAGAAGCCTACTCACCACTCGCGGGAGCCTAAACGTCGAGCTAAGAGCTCAAATCCCCTCCGAAGAGGCATACAGGAGTTTGTAACAAGACATATCCCCTCAGACGACCTTGCCAAACATGGTCTATTACTAGAGACCCTGGAATCCGCCCTTCCGAAACGGTTCACTGTGTATGAACCACTGCTCCTGCTGCCAGTGAACGCACTCAGTGATCCTCCAGCTTGGGGCTCGCTTTACGCAGGCCTAGATAGCCAAAAGCGACAGTTTCTCTTTGAGTCGATTTCTAAGGCTTTCGGGCGTATGGGCGTTACACATATCGCTATGAATGCGCCTATCGCGCCTACGAACACTCAGGGAGGAGAGAACCGGATGCGCAGCCCTGCGGGTTTGATTCCTCTTTACGGAGACTTTGGTCCGGCGCCGTCCGGGGATGGGGATGCGCAGCTGACGCGGGAAAACTTGCAGCGTGCGTTCTGGGTGCGAACTATGCAGAATCAGGGGATTGTGCAGATCTGGGCTCCGCTTTATACGATGTTTTCTCGAGGGAACATCACAGAGAAGGCTCGGATCCTGGGTCAAGGATCTGTGTTTGAAGGGCTTGATGAAGGTGCCCTTGGAGAAGACCTAGACGGCATCAGCGTGGTTGATATGTATGCGGGGATCGGGTATTTTGTCTTCTCATACCTGAAAAGAGGGGTGAAGAGGGTCTGGGGGTGGGAGATCAATGGATGGTCAGTCGAGGGTTTGAGGAGAGGGTGTACAGAGAATGGATGGTCGTGTAAAGTGGTTCGAGTTCTGAATGATGGATCATTGAGTGAATCGATCCCAGAACTGATTGACAATCTTCAAGATTCAGACAGAGTGATCGTGTTTCATGGGGACAACAAGTTCGCCGCTCACGTTATGAGTGAAATCAAAGGACGCATGGAGAGCCGAGATGCATGGAATAGAATTCGGCATGTCAACCTAGGTCTCCTTCCTTCCTCCAGCGGTGCTTGGAGTGACGCTTGCGCAATGATTGATCTACAGCTGGGAGGCTGGATACATGTGCATGAGAATGTGGATGTGCAACATATTGATTTGAAGAAGCAGGAAATCCTCACTGAGATTGGGAAATTGAGGGCACTGGCCTTCCCAAGTGCTGTTCAACAGCCTATTGATTGCCGGCATATCGAGCATGTCAAGACATATGCACCAGGCGTCATGCATTGCGTCTTCGACATCAAGTTGCCTCCATCAGAAGAGGTGCACCTGCTACGAGACTCGAGCTGAGCAGGACATCGTCTCGGTCTCAATCCTAAAGTCAGATATTACGGCGAGAGAGTGGTTATCGCGCCTCATGAGGGATGAGATTCTGACTCACTCGTGAGTTCCAGAATGAAAAGTATCGATTTCACCAGGCTCATGTCGTGTAACCGACCCTCGGACTCTCTCATAACAGGCACATATATACAACACAACAGACATCAAACTGTACATCTCTTAAGTTCGTCTGAGGAATTTCTGCGGGATGTTCGCCTCGACAATTGTCATCCGTTCCAGTTGTTCAAGTCTCTCCGCGGCATCTTCTTCCTCATCATGTCTTCGGAAATGCTCGATATCTTCCGGATGCGTGAGATCTTCTAACTTGGCGTCCTCCCCGTGAAATTTCTCGAAATGATGGATTTCATACTCGTATTCAATATCGCCGTGATGTCCAGGACCAAACCCGAGATCAGGTAACCGTTTACCGGCCGAGGTGAGACCCATCCAGTTGTCGCGAGTGATAACCCCTGAATTCCCTGTGTCGAAAAGGGCAAATACCTCGCGAAGCGCCTGTTGCTTGCGCTCCTCGGTCGCCCCCGAATTCGATTCGTCGTCCATGCCATATGTCTTTCGAACCTCCTCAGGGGTCCATGCGCCAGAGGAATCGTAGTCGTGAAGGGTGAAGAAGGAACCAGGGTCGAAGGAATCGATGTGGTGTTCCTCTGTCGAATACATTGTCAATGGCTATTCCCAGTGGAATAATAACAGTGGAGTGTACTACCTTGCATATGGCGGGTCGCCCAATCCGAGGAAGGGTTCTGCTCGCTCGCATGCGATCCATGAGCATTGGCGAAGCTGTTGCTTAAAGCGAGCAGCGCAGTAGCAAGTCCAATTGACCCGACGAGCATTGTCGACAAAGCTGCTTGAATGACAATTCCAAACACAAGATATACAAAATTCAACTACTTACAGATGAGAATGTATTTAGTGATAAAATCGTAAAATAATGATAAATGAGAACAAGAAACAGTCGTCGATACACATATCCTTGACCTCTTGGCTGTTTGCAATATTTGCATCCGGGCTGTCGCCTTTTTTCCGGCTCCAGAAAGAAATCACCCTACATCGTCCCACCTCCGGTATCTTCCACTCACCATCGACTATCTCAGCCTTCGCTCTTTTCAGAGGCCATTGAGCGGGGGAGACGTTTCGATCGACGTCGACTCAATTCCTGTATGCTTCATTCCAACGAGCTCTACTTAGAAATGCCGCGATAATGCAAGGTCTATGGTCCCGCGTTGCTCCAACGCAGTCGGCCTGTCGATGCGTTTCCTGCCTCAGTACCAGCGCAACCGGAATAACGTCCCGAACAGCAACCGCAGCAAGTAAAAGACGCCTTCGCATAGGGAATTCCGTCACGGCGCTGTACACCAGTATCTTTGCTGCCGCAGCTCTGGCAGATGCTCAAGCGAAGGACAAGCGCCGACATGAGTGGGCCGAGAAAATCGCAGCCGTGAAGGAGGAGGTGAATGAATTGGTAGATGAAGAACATCGGCTACTAGAAGCCCTTCAGGCTCGAAGGTTGCGAACACTTTCACATGCAGCTTTACAAAAACGATCATTTACAACCTTGAGATCGATACCGACGGCCAGAAGCGGCCAATCGCTCCAAAGGAATCCTCCTAGTCGTTGGGTCCATGCAGCACAAGATCTTGACCATGAGGTACACAACGAATTCATCCACAATCCTGACCCCGAGGAGCCAAGTGTATTCCTCCAAAAGGATGAGTTCGAGCAAACCAGCCGAGATCTTCGGGGAATGATTGAGGACGATGGTGATTTTGACGATGATACATCACCGATAGAAAACGCTTTCTTCCTTGAAGATGTCGAGATTCCGAAGTGGCTGTCGGACGATTCGGTTCGACAGAAGGCCATCCGGAAACTTGCACTGAAGCAACTAGCGATACGACTTTTGCTTCGCGAGTCAGTCGCACACAATTACGCGGGTATTCCGATGAAGTATTCGGCCGACTTTGAGGTACCCCAACTCAATTTCGCGGAATTGTTGACTGAACTGAACAACATCCGGCGCAGAATTCGTCTTCTGAAAACCAACCAAGGTGCATTTTTTGACGATCTGGCAAAGGAGCTCCGCGTACGGTCGGTCAAGGAGCTGCAAATTGAGCGTGATAGGCTCGACGATGAAGCAAGCCGAGATGTTTCATTATTTCTCAGAGACAAAATGTCGCTTCAGGAATTGCTTCTACGATTAGCGAATAATCTACTTCAGTCCTCGGATCCTGATCGACCGTATTGCATGAAGTTGATGATCTTGACTTTCACCAAATCCATGCAAAATGATCTTACGGAACTGGTACTCAGGACGCTGCTGCCGCACAGATTTCCATTGAACTCCTCTCTCATCATCTCAATTTTGACCTATTTCAAAAAAGCTAAAAATCTCCAAGGGTTTGATGCGTTCCTAAGAATGCTTCGGGGTGAAGGATACCCGGTGGATATGGGCAGATTGGGTTATTACAAACGGATGGTCGTCAATGGCGTGGAAATAACTGTCCCCCCTGTGGCCAGTGCTAATCCTGTCATCTATACGACGCTGATCACGGCAGCTTTACGCTTCAATCAACCGGATCGAGCTGATGCCTGGCTTCAAGCAGGGAGGCAACACGGGGTTACAGACGACTTCTCGACCCTGTACGCCTATCTGAAGTATTATGCCCGAAGGTCTGACTGGCGAAACGGGCTGTATACACTAAGGAGATCGCTTGCCTTCCTAACTTGTTCTACTCTACACTCGCTCCGGCATGTCGAGAGATTGATTGCACACATGGTGCAACTTTGCGACTGGTGTGGAAAATGGGAGTTATCAGATGCTATGATCAAAGCCGCAATCGATAGCGGTTTTGACTGGAGTACCGCGATCAAAAATCAACAAGACATCAACCTTGCCCAAGATCCTCGCATCGACGTTTGGCAGAAGAAGGTGGACGAAAAGACAATAGAGAAACGAAGCAAGCCTGTATGGGAGAAGACTTTTGCCTTTGCCGACTTATTTGTGGAGCAATTGGACGATCTCATTATATCCGAGGAAAAGGACCCCGCCACCCGCTGGCAGAGTATGGTTGCCCTGCATTCTCGGGAAGTATTGTCAGCTATGCTTGCTGGCCCTCTTCATAAATACAAAGACGCAAAACCGACCGATCCTGCTCCCCAGCGGATCCTCAGTCCGGACGATGCCAACTTCGTTGAGCATGTCGATTCCGGCCGCCTTGAAGAATACGCAATATCCACTACGAACGCGCAGAAGATGCAGCAGGAAGAAATTAACAATCTGAGATCGGAAGTGCAGCAATTGAAGAATATTGTTTCGCAACTACACCGAACCGTTATCCAAAAGCCGTCCTCCACCCCATTCAGAGATGGCCGGCGCGCGGGACGTCAGGATTTCTCAACCGTGGCTTCCATCAGCGACGCCATGGACCCTCCAGAGGGGAAACGATTCAACCTACGGTTCATTTCTGATCCTCAAAATTCACGAAAAGTGGTGGAGCGGGAATCGGATGCTCCAGCAGAATGAAACATTCAAGATAGTGATCGCACGCGTTGTTCGTAATGATACCTCAATTACCTGTACAATCTTGTATATTAGGTTGGATAGATATAGGACTTGCAATGATGATCCCGTGACATTTGCTTCACCACTCTTGATAGGTTCTTGAGTTATGAGTCGCATGAATACGTTGACCAGACGTTCGCGTTTCCCTTGCCATTCAAGGATACCTACCGTGATGCATTACATCAACCAGGTATATCTCGTCGGGATTGACTCTGACGCGACTGCAGCAGACGTTGATGGATTTTGAGACTAGCGTTCCTAGCTCAGTGAATCCCTCTAAGTCTAGCCAAATGCTTGGATGCCAATGACAAGGTATGTTTGAATCGAGCAGTAGTACTCTCTACAATCAGCAGGGGCCAATTAATGACGTCTAGAATTCGAACGCCGCCGAATATACATACATGTTAGGCAAGTCTACTCTAAAATGACCGAAGTGAAGACGCCTTCGTGAAATAAAAGAAAGGGGGAATCTATTTAATTCTCGAAATCAGGATAATCTATCGTCTCTTTCCGGAGTCTCCGCGCATCTTCTCTTTGCGCGCAAGTCTCTCTGCGGCGCGCAGCAAGGAAGACCGGATCTCGCCCTTGGGGAAGCTTGAGATATCGTAGTATGTGGGAGCGATATCCTAGAAAGAAGCTATTAGTCATTCTCGTTCAATGATACTGGGGAAAAATGGTGACGACATACAATGAGCCATTCGGGTTTGACAGCAGTCACAGTCCGAATGTAATTCTTAGTCGTGAGGACAAACTCGTTATAGAGAACCCACTCGGCATCATAGCCGAGGACGGTTGAAGGGTGCAGAAGAACATTCTGGTTGTCCTTGACGGTCGTGTAAACACTCTTTCCCTGTGGTTCCTTCTTGGCGACCTGCATGAAGAATCCCGCGCACAGCGCACGCCGGATGTTCTCATAGTATTTCTTGTCTTCGAAAGGAGTCGAGATCATTTCCAGCTCCTCGCGCTCCATGATCCTCAGAAGCTGCATACGAACGTTGTCGGCCGATTGGAGAGATCTGAGGGAGAGGTAATGATCATGACACCATTGCTTTGGATTCTCCTGGGCCTCTGCACTCTTGAAGGCATGATAGGCGTTCAAAAGAGTGAGGTGGTCACCATCGGGGTGAGCAAAGAGATTCTTCATCTCGTCGGCGCGCTTCCTCTGAGAGGCGGGCCGCACGAAAATTTGAGGAACCGAAAGCAGAGCCGTGATCGACAGAATCTCATTTGAGCAGTAGAACTCGGGAGAACTGATCAGCATGACGGCGAGCGCGGGATCAAGGGGAAATTCGGAGGCAAGGCGGCCCAGCGGTGTCAGGTTGCCGTCGTCATCAAGGCAAGCCAGATAATTCAACTCCTCCAGAGCTCTCATGAGTGTCTCAGGGGCGGGAGGATCCATCAGGTCAAAGTGGACGAGATCATCGATTCCGAGCTTCTTCAATTCTAGCACAGTCGAGGAAAGGTTAGATCGGAGAATTTCGGGGTAGGTCTGATCAATCAGCTCCTTCTTGAAGGCACCTTCCGTATAGAGACGGAAGCATTTTCCGGGGCGCGTACGACCCGCACGACCAGCTCTTTGTTGAGCAGAAGCCTTGGAGATGGGAGACACGAGAAGTGACTCGACACGAATTCGGGGGTTGTAGATCTTCTGTTTCGAGAATCCCGGATCCACCACGTACACGATACCATCAATGGTAAGAGAAGTTTCCGCAATGTTTGTCGAAACAATCACCTTACGGCCAGCACGACCGCCTGGTCTGCGAGGGGGAGGAGCAGGCTCGAAGATACGCTGCTGCATGTGTGGAGGCAGACTGCCGTAAAGCGGATAGACTTTCAGGGGACCAGCGTCGGCTTCTCTCACCATCTCGTCCGCCTCGAGCGAGATCTTGCGCGCAGCATCTTCGATTTCTTCCTCACCGGTCAGGAACAGAAGGATATCACCATCCGGCTCTGTGGCGTGGATTTGGAGGACAGTGCGAATGGCCGCTTCCACATAATCTTGCTCCGGTTCGGGAGTATAGAAGATCTCGACGGGATGAGTACGACCGGGAACGGCAAGTAGAGGAGCGTCGTTGAAATAACGCTGGAATTTTTGCGCATCCAGGGTGGCGGACATGATAATGATCTTCAAATCGGGCCGACGCTGCACAACTTCTTTGAGAAGGCCCATAAGTACATCGGTAGCCATGGTTCTTTCGTGAGCTTCGTCAAGAATAATTGTGCTGTAGCGTGTAAGGTCATGATCATGCATAGCTTCTCTCAGAAGCATACCATCCGTCATATATTTCAGGCAGGTCTTGGAACTTGTCATGTCCTCGAAACGGATACTGTAACCAACTTCCTCTCCAAGCTTAACATCCAATTCAGCAGCCACACGCTGAGCAACGGACATGGCAGCAACTCGACGAGGTTGGGTACAAGCGACCATTTTGCGCTGGGTTTGCGGTAGATCATCGTACAAGACGAACTGGGGAATCTGTGTAGTCTTACCGGAACCAGTCTCACCGACAAAGACTAGAATCTGGGACTTCTGGTAAAGCTGCAAAAACTCGTCTCTTTAAATAACAGTTAGTTATTTATCACCGAAAGCCCTCACCTGAGTATGAACGGCTTACCTCTGTTGGTGCACTGGAAGATCACGACGAGTCTGCAAGATAGAGAAGTACTTGCTGGAGAAAGGTTGACCGGTAAAAGGATTGATCTCTCCATCCTCTATCTCCTTCACCAGAGCTGCTGTCGTCTGATGCCTCTTCAGCTTCGCGAAAGCGGGATTCGTCCCTGATGAGCTCGAGTTGCCGTTGGCAGACACATCCGCATACATATGAGCCAGGTAAGGATTGTTCCTGGGATCCGTCTCTGTCTTGTCCATCTTCTGACGCTTAGCACGCGAGCGATCTTCAGAGTCTGAGCGCGAGTCGACCATGGCGATGTAAGTTCTGCAAAAGAGTGGAGTTGCGACAGTGAATGAGATCGCCTTGCGAACGAATTCAATAATCTTACTTGAATTATCGAGCGGCAGAATAATAATTTTGCCGATGGCTGAGGGAAAAATTAGTCTAACCCAGATAGGCAAGTGTCGCCGCATAGTATCATCGCCACAGCTGTGTTTTTCAGTCCTCTCACCGCCTGGAGATTCTGCCACCACCCCTCCCCACAGAAAGGCAGGGGGATTGCCGTGTCTGTTACTCTGTTTAATTGATGGAGCTATCTAGCGCTTGGACGGTACCTTGGTGCGGCACTCAGAAGGGAGGGGACACCTTTGACTGAGCGACGGGCTCCTATCAATTGTTCCCTCATCGCACCATCGTCCATCTGAAGTCGCATTGAGACAAATCGGTTCTATTGATCAATTGATCTGAAATGCGGGACTAATCTTCCAGGCAGATATTGCGTTAAGATCAACAATCATCTCAACATTGGGACCGTCGAAGGCTCGTCGATTGAACTTCACGGAATTTCTCTTCTCCAAGAAATATCCAGAACGTACTGTTCTGTATAGTTTGCGAAGATGGATGCAGAAGATTTGGCCCCCGCATTCTGCGTTGGTCAACATGAAAGCAACCGTACAATACCCATCACCACGCAGATTGTGCAGTCGGCACACGAGAGTAACGTACGTACCCGTCGAATCTGCAGGGTATCTGAATTGTCTGACCTGCTAATTCTTCGGTCTTAGTATGATATGCTTACTACGCCGATAACCACTCCTCACTTTCACTCTCGAGTCCTAAGTCTGCTCTCTGGTCACTTGTCTAAGTTGCAGGCAGTATCGTCTGATCCCAATGGTACTCTGGCGACCACCGAGAATACGAGGCCTGTGGTCATCCCTCCCCTTGGCCCGTCAGACACTCATCTCACTCCAAACCAAACGATGAGCCAGTTGATGGGTGTCACTAGCCCTTGGATTGACCTTTGTTCCCCCGATCCATTGATTGCAGATATCTCCCGTCAAGTTCTCATGTTAGAGGTGGCATATGCAGCTTTCTGCGGCATTGGATATCTCCTGATCCCGGGCCCGAAGCTCCACCATGGAAATATGCACTCAGAAGGCTTGATTTTCTACGCGAGGGCAGTTCAAGATGCCATCAATCTTGGCCCATACATTCAATTTCATGTTTGGCTGAGAATTGTGGACAACCCGGATCTGGAAGTTGATAATATGGGTGACCTCGCTCCTCTTGCCCGTGATGAGTTCCTCTGGGGTTCCGATGATGGGCAGTCGCTCAAGGTGGACCTGTTTGGAACTTGGGATGCTTGGGACGTAATTAGAAGAACCTGTAAATATCACACGAGACTCTTCGTAGGTAAGAATATATTTTCTTTTCTGCAGCCCTTCATCCGTTCTTACATCTGCGACTACTTCCAATTTGCCCTGTTGCTAAAATCTATACCGACAGCACTATCCTTACCAAAACAACTTCCTCCAATGTCTGTCCAGTCCCGCTGGCATTCCGAGCCTGTTCACCTGCTTACTATGGACGCCAATGCTTTTATCAAGAACCAGAAAGGCTACCCTGTCCTATCCAAGGCGCACCAGGCTTTGATTGCTAAATTCATGCGTCTTCGGACGCCCCCGTGGATTCTCCTCTGCGACGTTGGCCCTATTCCGGGAGTAGAGACAAGCGAGTCGTCTGGGGCTAATCAATCGAACCTGTCCAGCTCTGAATATCCAAGTCTTTCGCAAGCCGCGGTCTCGAGCAAGAAGTTTCATGATCCGACACCTCATTTGTCATATATCAGAAATCTCCAGCAACGTCAACCGCCTCGCTCTGCGATCGAGAGATTTGGCATGGGTTATCAAGACTATCTTCAGGCGCCACTGCAGCCCTTGACGGTTAACCTGGAAAGCATCACATATGAAGTTTTTGAGAAAGATCCTATCAAGTATGAGTGGTATGAGAGAGCTATTGCGAAAGCCCTCAGTGACTGGGCCGAGCAGAAGAAGCCTACCTCTAACCCGG